AATAAAATGCTCCGCAGGGCGCAGCTTGATACGACCGCAGAGGTCGAATCCTGAACAGTTGGGGCAAGTATGGACACAACATTCAAGCTTGATACAGCTTTGCATTTGGATTGTGATTAAATATTTGACACAGCATAGGTTTCTGACACAGAATGAATGTGGTCTAAGAACTTAAAAATTTTAAATTGGACATTCACCTATTATGGTCCAATATCCAAAATCTAAATACATGGTTAGATTCAGCATATCAAAGAACCCCAAGAATTCAATTTTTGATGAAATCAAACAAAGTTTAATTTTGGACCCTTTTGACCTCAATGTGGACAAAGTTGAAAACGCGGCCCAAAAATCAAAAATCTAAATACATGGTTAGATTCAGCATATCAAAGAACCCCATATATTCAATTTTTGTTGAAATCAAACAAAGTTTAATTTTGGACCCCGATTTGGACCAACTTGAAAACTGGGCCCATAATCAAAAATCTAAATACATGTTTAGATTCAGCATATCAAAGAACCTTAAGAATTCAATTTTTGTTAAAATCAAACTAAGTTTAATTTTGGACCCTTTGGACCTTAATGTAGACCAATTTGAAAACGGAACCAAAAATTAAGAATCTAAATACATGGTTAGATTCGGCATATCAAAGAACCCCAATAATTCAATTTTTGATGAAATCAAACAAAGTTTAATTTTGGACCCTTTGGACCTCAATTTGGACCAATTAAAAAAACGGGGCCCAAAATCCAAAAACTAAATACACGGTTAGATTCAGCATATTAAAGAAACCCAAGAATTCAAGAATAAAACCCCATTGAAATTGGTCAAGAAATAAGCAATTTATACGAAGTATCTTCTTTTGCACAATACTGTGCAATTAAATATTTCTTGCTATTGCGCAATACTGTACAATTGACAATTTCTTGCTATTGCGCAATATTGTGCTATTGGATATTTCTTGCTATTGCGCAATACTGTGCAATTGAAGATTTCTTGCTATTGCGCAATACTGTGTAATTGAAGATTTCTTGCTATTGTGCAATACTGCGCAATTGAAAATTTCTTGCTATTGCACAATACTTATTATATAATAATTTACACATCCTGTTTGGTGTGTATCTCCAACCATATCATTATTATTTGCTTTTAAATATAAATCAGAAATAACCAACTTAAAATGGAAAATTTTAAAAGAAAAAAAAAATGAAAAAAAAAAAAATCCCCCCCCCCCACAAATATTTTGAACCCCCTTATGATTCATCACCCCCAAACTCAATCCCAGCCTTCCCTTTGTGGAATGGTACCTTGCAGTACAATTTCAGAGAGATCCATACACTTGAACACAAGTTATTGTCTGGAAACTAGAAAAATGTGTTTTTTGGCCCCTTTTTGGCCCCAAATTCCTAAACGTTTAGGGCAATTACCCCCAAACTCAAACCCAGCTTTCCCTTTGTGATATGGAACCTTGTAGTACAATTTCAGAAAGATCCATACACTTACACACCAGTTATTGTCCTGAAACTAGAAAAATGCTTGTTTTTTGCCCCTTTTTGGCCCCTAATTCCTAAAATATTGAGGCAATTACCCCCATCATCAATCCCAGCCTTCCCTTTGTGGTATGGTACCTCGCAGTACAATTTCAGAGAGATCCATACACTTGAACACAAGTTATTGTCTGGAAACTAGAAAAATGCTTATTTTTGGCCCCTTTTTGGCCCCCAATTCCTAAATGTTTCGGCAATTACCCCCAAACTCAATTCCAGCTTTCCCTTTGTGATATGGAACCTTGTAGTACAATTTCAGAAAGATCCATACACTTACACACAAGTTATTGTTATGAAACTAGAAAAATGCTTGTTTTTTGCCCCTTTTTTGGCCCCTAATTCCTAAAATTTTGAGGCAATTACCCCAAAAATCAATCCCAGCATTCCTTTTGTGATATGGAACCTTGTGGTACAATGTCAGAGAGATCCATACACTAACACACAAGTTATGTCTGGAAGTTACAAAAATGCTTATTTTTGGCCCCTTTTTGGCCCCTAATTCCTTTACTGTTGGTACCATAACCCCCAAAAACAATCCCAACCTTCCTTTTGTGGTATTGAACCTTGTGGTAAAATTTCATAGAGATCCATTCACTTAAACTAAAGTTAGAGTGCGAAAACCAATGTGTCTTCGGACGACGCTGGACGACGCCAGACGACGACGACGACGACGACGACGACGACGACGACGACGACGACGCCAACGTCATACCAATATACGACCACAAAATTTTTTTTGCGGTCGTATAAAAATTGCAGATTTTATCCAACGCAATCATAGGTTTGAACGTTGTTCTCAATTTAGACATATTTATATATAAAATTGATTATTGCTTTAATAGAATATAAAATGTTCTTACCATTATAATTAAGTTTGGTTAGTCAAGATAAAACACCTTATTTAATCCAACCCATATCCCCTTTCTCAATTAGGTCAAGATGAATTCTTTATGAGCAAAATATTACATTTGAATGATATTAATTAAAAGATTTCTGAGCCATTATCTGCCAAATTATAATAAAATGCTCCGCAGGGCGCAGCTTGATACGACCGCAGAGGTCGAACCCTGAACAGTTAGGGCAAGTATGGACACAACATTTAAGCTTGATACAGCTTTGCATTTGGATAGTGATTAAATATTTGACACAGCATAGGTTTCTGACACAGAATGAATGTGGTCTAAGAACTTAAAAATTTTAAATTGGACATTCACCTATTATGGTCCAATATCCAAAATCTAAATACATGGTTAGATTCAGCATATCAAAGAACCCCAAGAATTCAATTTTTGATGAAATCAAAAAAAGTTTAATTTTGGACCCTTTTGACCTCAATGTGGACAAAGTTGATAACGGGGCCCAAAAATCAAAAATCTAAATACATGGTTAGAATCAGCATATCGAAGAACCCCATATATTCAATTTTTGTTGAAATCAAACAAAGTTTAATTTTGGACCCCGATTTGGACCAACTTGAACACTGGGCCCATAATCAAAAATCTAAATACATGTTTAGATTCAGCATATCAAAGAACCCTTAGAATTCAATTTTTGTTAAAATCAAACTAAGTTTAATTTTGGACCCTTTGGGCCTTAATGTAGACCAATTTGAAAACGGAACCAAAAATTAAGAATCTAAATACACGGTTAGATTCGGCATATCAAAGAACCCCAATAATTCAATTTTTGATGAAATCAAACAAAGTTTAATTTTGGACCCTTTGGACCTCAATGTGGACCAATTTAAAAACAGGGCCCAAAATCCAAAAACTAAATACATGGTTAGATTCAGCATATTAAAGAACCCCAAGAATTCAAGAATAAAACCCCATTGAAATTGGTCAAGAAATAAGCAATTTATATGAAGTATCTTCTTTTGCACAATACTGTGCAATTAAATATTTCTTGCTATTTTGCAATACTGTACAATTGACAATTTCTTGCTATTGCGCAATATTGTGCTATTGGATATTTCTTGCTATTGCGCAATATTGTGCTATTGGATATTTCTTGCTATTGCGCAATACTGTGCAATTGAAGATTTCTTGCTATTGCGCAATACTGTGCAATTGAAGATTTCTTGCTATTGTGCAATACTGTGCAATTGAAAATTTCTTGCTATTGCACAATACTTATCATATAATAATTTACACATCCTGTTTGGTGTGTATCTCCTACCATATCATTATTATTTGCTTTTAAATATAAATCAGAAATAACCAACTTAAAATGGAAAATTTTAAAAGAAAAAAAAAAGGAAAAAAAGAAAAAAAATTAAAAAAAAAAATCCCCCCCCAAATTTTTTGAACCCCCTTATGATTCATCACCCCCATCATCAATCCCAGCCTTCCCTTTGTGGTATGGTACCTTGCAGTACAATTTCAGAGAGATCCATACACTTCAACACAAGTTATTGTCTGGAAACTAAAAAAATGCTTATTTTTGGCCCCTTTTTGGCCCCCAATTCCTAAACGTTTTGGCAATTACCCCCAAACTCAATTCCAGCTTTCCCTTTGTGATATGGAACCTTGTAGTACAATTTCAGAAAGATCCATACACTTACACACAAGTTATTGTCATGAAACTAGAAAAATGCTTTTTTTTTGCTTCTTTTTTGGCCCCTAATTCCTAAAATTTTGAGGCAATTACCCCCAAAATCAATCCCAGCATTCCTTTTGTGATATGGAACCTTGTGGTACAATGTCAGAGAGATCCATACACTAACACACAAGTTATGTCTGGAAGTTACAAAAATGCTTATTTTTGGCCCCTTTTTGGCCCCTAATTCCTTTACTGTTGGTACCATAACCCCCAAAATCAATCCCAACCTTCCTTTTGTGGTATTGAACCTTGTGGTAAAATTTCATAGAGATCCATTCACTTAAACTAAAGTTAGAGTGCGAAAACCAATGAGTCTTCGGACGACACCGGACGACGACGACGCCAACGTCATACCAATATACGACCACAAAAATTTTTTTGCGGTCGTATAAAAATCAGACTGAATTCTTTAAAGTTTTTTTATAAATTCTCCTAGAATCCAAATCTAGGGTTTATTCAAATATATGTGTCTTAAAAGTGCTCTACAAATAAAGCAGAATTTGAATAAAGAGGCCTCTCTCAGAAGGACATTTCAACAAAATTTCATTGTAAATTAAGAAGATAAACCTAGCGTAAGGGACATAACTTTTACAAATCACTGGTTCTTTATCTCAATCATTTACAGAAGTATATTATAAGCTTCTAAGCAACACAAAATATTTAATTCTATTTCACATGAGTGCTTAAAGAGCATTGATGAAACTGATTATCACAAACACATCACTGATGAAAGGAGTAAGTTCCAAAAGCTGTTAACTGTTTTTATTAAAAATTAAAATTAAGGATGGATATGTCCTGTACAATCTCAATAAGCTATTATACCAATACATATCATAAAGTCATTGTAATATTACACAGATAATTCCACCATGTCCGTCTCTCATGTAGAGCCTCCATCCTGCCTTCCCATGATCAGGATCACTGAAGTCATGTTCACTGTTGTTCGGTAAATAAACTGTAAGAAATGACCGTGGTCCATGTCCTAAACACAGGAGAACCTGTTTAAGCTGACCATCATGGAGGTAGTGATACAAGTTTTCTCTGTAATTGTGGTTTGTTTGAAAGTGTTGGGTTACTGTCAGTAAAAATCCAACTACAAATAAAAAGAGAAAACAATTATATTGAGAGACTTGTTTTGAGACAAACAAAATAAAAGAAATAAATACATATTGAAATTTACTCTCAGTACTATTCCATTTTCTTATGATTCTTAATGAATTCTTCTGATATTTCTTTCAAGCTATCTTTACTCTGAATCAATTAGTAATATTGCATTTATATTTGAACAAATTTTAAAATCTTTCTTGTTGTACAATATGCCTCCAGTAGTTAGACCTATATATATATACCTGTTTCATTGACAAAGTGAATTTCTTTAGGAAATCCTGCCAGTGTTATTGACTGTGTTATAGTGACTACTGCATCAGAATCTATTGTCTCCCTGTAATAATAGTATTTGTATAATCTTGATGCATGGTTCTGAATTTTTAGAAAAAATTTCACACTGAAAGTTAACCAAGCAACAATCAGTCAATCAATCAATCAATCATCATGATACATTTCATATTAAATCATAAACAATAAGCTCTCATGTAATCTACTGTGGATTCATTTATTTTCGTGGGTACCAATTTTCGTGGATTAAGGAAAACTTACATGTTCGTGGATATTTACTTCGTGGTTTTGCCATATTGTGTATACACGCCTATAGGAAATTTGTAATTCGTTGAATATTTAATTTCGTGGTTCATCTGTACCCACGAAATCCATGAAAATTGGTATCCAACGAATAATAATGAATCCACAGTATTTTATTTCTTTTGCCAGTTTATTATAATATACTAGTAATTATTTTCATAATCAAATTTATACTGTTACAGAACTTTTGCTGTTCAAAAGTCAAAATATGAATAAAACAAGAGGCTGTCAGATTGACAACAAACCAGATTTTCCTGCAGAGGTCGAACCCTGAACAGTAGAGCAAGTAAATAATGCAAATAAATACAGGTTTAGATTCAGCATTCCTGATTTGGACCAACTTGAAAACTGGGCCCAAAATTGTAACCACATTGAATAATTTCCTGACCCTTTGGCAAAATTATTTGCTTTTGACTGTATCATAAAATGTATATAGGTGACATAGGTGGAATCACAAGATTTGAAAGTATCACAAAGATTGGTGGAACTGGAGCATTTTGTATATATCATAAATCTATGGCGAACTTGAAGAAAAAATAGTACAACTTTGAAACTGGAATAATAATGTACCTGTGAATCTTTAAAATAAGCAGAAGATTATCCACAGCAATGGCAGCTCTCGTATATGTCTTGCCAATGTCATCAGTGAAACTCACTTCCCCAACAACTTTGAATGTTGTGAATTTGATTTTGTCTTTAACTTTTAAGTCGTCTTTCTCCCAAAAGTTGCTATCAAGAGGCCTAAAATGTAAAGTAAGATTTTTTAAAAATAAGAATTTTTTGAGGCTACTAACTAATATTTCGAAAAAAGATTTAAGATTCTCCATCTGAAGACCAGTCTTGTCCTCTGACAGAGAGGTCAAATATCAGTCCTTTGAAGAAAAAAAATCTGCCTTTTCCCCCTCTTTCATAAATAAGCAGCTGTTTAAACTATAAACTATAGCTCATCAGATTAAACTGCACCAGATACACAATTTTATATGAGAATTTTCGATAAAATTGATTTATTTTATTCGTCGTACCATTGATATTAAAACTGTGACTTATTGACTCAAAGGATTGGGTGTTCTAATTATTGTTTTTATATTTCACTGTATTATATACGTACTGTTGTACGTTTGTTTTTTCTACATTGGCTAGAGGTATAGGGGGAGAGTTGAGATCTCAAAAAACATGTTTAACCCCGCTGCATTTTTGCGCCTGTCCCAAGTCAGGAGCCTCTGGCCTTTGTTAGTCTTGTATCATTTTTAATTTTAGTTTCTTGTGTATAATTTGGAGTTTAGTATGACGTCCATTATCACTGAACTAGTATACATATTTGTTTAGGGGCCAGCTGAAGGAGGCCTCCGGGTGCGGGAGTTTCTCGCTGCATTGAAGACCCATTGTATGACGTCCATTATCACTGAACTAGTATACATATTTGTTTAGGGGCCAGCTGAAGGAGGCCTCTGGGTGCAGGAGTTTCTCGCTGCATTGAAGACCCATTGGTTGCCTTCGGCTGTTGTCTGCTCTATGGTCGGGTTGTTGTCTCTTTGACACATTCCCCATTTCCATTCTCAATTTTATACTTTGTGAATAACATATGTCACTATAATAAACAATTTACTTACTTACTTACTGTAAAATTAATGTCTCTTTAGTGATGCCCAAGGCCAAAATACAAAAATGTATTTGATAACCAAAACCTAATTGAAATTTTGAAGAGCTAATTTAATTGAAAAGGATAGTTTTAAATCCTCAATTAAGGGCAATCACTCCTACAAAGAGTGACAATCTACTAACTGTATCAGCGAAATTTGACTTGTCAGTAGATCTTGCCTTGCTGATCATTTTTGTGATTTAATATGTATATTTATCTATTATAATTTTTATCATAAAAGGCAAAACGCAAAAAAAAATGGTAAAAATTGTCATTAAAGGGCAATAACTCCAATAAGGAATCATCTGAGGACTTCTTCCATATTGTCTTAATTGTAGATCTTGTCTTGCTGATCATTTTTGCTTACTTAACTTTCTATCAATCTGTTATAAATTTTATGATATAAGGCAAAATCCTCATCAAAGGGCAATAACTCTAATAAGGAGTTGCCTGACTTTTTTGACCATGTTTGACTTATTTGTAGAACTTGTTTTGCTGATCATTTTTGCAATTTAAATTTTCTCCCTACCTATTATAATTTTCAAAATAATAGGCAACAATGTAAAAAAATAGTTAAATTTGTCATTTAAGGGCAATAACTACTATAAGAAGTTGTCTGACAGTTTTGACATAAATGAACAATTGGTAGAGTTCAACATTCTGAACATTTTTGCCCTTGTCAGATTTTTCTCTATTTATAACAGTTTTCAAAATAATAGACAAAACTTGCATTTTCTCTATGTTCTATTTTAAGCCATGTCGGCCATCTTGGTTGGCAGGTGTGGTCATCAAACACTTTTTTTAACTAGATACTTCAATGATGATTGTGGCAAAGTTTGGTTAAATTTGGCCCAGTAGTTTCAGAGAAGATTTTAAATTTGTAAAAGTTAACAGACAACGATGGACGACAAGTAATGAGAAAAGCTCACTTGGCCCTCGTGGCCAGGTGAGCTCAAAAGTACTATTGTAAACAAAATCAAATACATTTTACAACAAATGTCAAAAAAAATTTCCTGAAGTGAGATCTCAATCTTTCTACTAGGTTTTGGATTTGAAAATGTTTTGGCCTCAAGTATCACTGAAGAGACATTTATCAATGTTTATTGTCGAAATGCACATCTGGTGCAGTAAAATTTGTACCGTTAACATTATTACTAACACTTCGAATAAATTCATCTGTTATTAAATAGTATACATAGTACAAGTTACTGTAGTAAATGTTGCAGTATTGCCAACACTCAGAGGCCAGGCATCACAGAGGCCAATATAGCAGAGTTAAGCAAAGTTGTAACATGTTTAAGAAAGGTAATAATTCTGACACATTTGAGTAAGGAAAATAATGGGACGTGCTTGATAAAATATTTGCATAAAAGGTCATCTTAACATGACCCCTTATGGGAAGTCTTCAAATTTTAAACACCACGAAACAAATCTCACTGAGTAAAGTGAAAGAAAGATTTTATTTTATTCTAATTGTTCTAATCCAGTCTGAATATTTTTTACTGTTAGTACATGTAGTACAGAATCTAGGAATCATTCAAAATGTGTTAGTCTCCCAAGAAAGACATGTGTCCCCTGCCTTCTCCACATACAGTGGTACAGAATCTAGGAATCATTTAAAATGTGTGAGTCTCCCAAGAAAGACATGTGTCCCCTTCCTTCTCCACATACAGTAGTACAGAATCTAGGAATCATTCAAAATGTGTTAGTCTCCCAAGAAAGACATGTGTCCCCTGCCTTCTCCACATACAGTAGTACAGAATCTAGGAATCATTTAAAATGTGTGAGTTTCCCAAGAAAGACATGTGTCCCCTGCCTTCTCCACATACAGTGGTACAGAATCTAGAAATCATTCAAAATGTGTGTTTCTCAAGAAAGACATGTGTCCCCTTCCTTCTCCACATACAGTAGTACAGAATCTAAGAATCATTTAAAATGTGTGAGTTTCCCAAGAAAGACATGTGTCCCCTGCCTTCTCCACATACAGTGGTACAGAATCTAGGAATCATTCAAAATATGTGAGTTTCCCATGAAAGACATGTGTCCCGTATGAAATTATTAGGCGTATTACGCCTGGAAATAAGGCGTAAACCAGGCGTAAGTGGTAGTTACGTGTTAGTAGATCCAGGCGTAAGGGAGCAGGAAACGTAAATTTGTAGTCCTTACGGGCGTAGAAAAAAGTGGTAAACCTGGCGTAAATTGAAATAAGCAAGACGTAAATTTTCTTACGGGCGTAAAACTGTTGGTATGGCGTAAATCATAATACCCATAATGCTTTGTTTAAAGGATCATGGGAATTTTTTTCAAAATTTGGCTCTTTGGTTTTAGTTTGCAAGATTGGACTTATGGCAGCTTCATATGTTCAGGGATAATCAGCTTGTTTTGTGCTTTTTGGAAGAATTTGAAATTGAAAATATGGAATCAAACTGATTAATAAAAATTGTGAAAAAAATGGAAAGTAAAACATGGTAAATAATAATTATGTGAGTAGATTAACTAAGTTATTAAGTTTTAAGTTCCAACAGTAATTTTGAAATCCCAAAACCTTTATCCTTGGATAATAACATTAAAATCTTTTACATGAAGTTAAATTGCAGTATTATCATTATATTTTAAAGGGCATTAATTTATAAAAAACTTAGTTAATTAAAATGCT